TGATAGAGACCAACATACTTTACAATATTTTACAATTTGAGATAGAGAGATTCTTAAAATAAATCGTAGTTCTTCGCTTGGTAGCGTTTGCAAAGACTTTGCAAACGCTTCCAACCCAGGTCTCACCGCGTGGAGGTGACTACGTTCGAGACCCCGGGCAGTGGACAATACCCACTGCCCCACACACCGCACACGCATACACACCGCACGCAAATGCGTCTTGCGTTAGTTTGTAAGGTGATCGCTCTTCTCTCTTCGTTCTTCTCTCTCCGATCTTCCCTCTTCGATCTTCTCTCTTCGTTCTTCTCTATTCGTTCTTCTCTGTTCGCTCTTCTCTCTTCGGTCTCCTCTCTCGTGTCTTGAAAATATATGACGATGATCTCGTTCATGCATGCCTTCCTTCCTTCCTTTCGTCCTTTCATCCTTTCTGTCTGCCTTCCCTCCTGCACGCCAACTTTCATTCCTGCCCGCCATCCTTCCTTCCTACCATCCTTCCTTTCATCCTCCCTGCCCGCCTTCCTGCCTGCCTGCCTTCCTGCCTTCCTGCCTTCTTTTCAGGGATGAACACTTCTCCACACCTGGAATGTGCCAGTTCTTAAAATTATCTGTCGATGTTCTACGCACGATCTCTCGTTAATAATTTCCTACTTGCTTACGTTGCTGAAAAAACGTTTCCTTTTATGCCCTCCTGCCTCCATCCTCCTGCCATCCCCCTGCCTCCCTTATAAATTGCCACTCTATAATACGAAGTTAATATGGAAGAAAATTTGATACGATTACGAACAAGACTTGAACTATTGACTCTAACTATTGACTCTAACTATTGACACTAATTTAAAACTAAGGTGAGCAAAAGAGGCCAAATTTCACTTGAGTAGCCAGAGTTCGAGCCAAGCAGGACCCTGCACAAGGATGACCATACCTCTGCGGAGAGTGCTCTGACCACGACCAATCCGTCTCACCGAGCTTACGCACTGCACCTGGGAATGGAACAGAAACACCCCCTCGCCTTACGAGGCAGGCCACCCAAGATACAGGAT